CCTTAAATCTCTCAAATGGCATTCAAACCCCTAGACTTTCTGAACAATGCCTGAGGAGTTTTTTCACTGTCGGCCTTCCCTTATCCAGTTCCAATTACTGGCAACATCACTGTTCTGAAATGTTCTGCTGAACAAATGCATTGAATAACTGTTCTGTACCAATAGGGAGTTCAAAGGTATTAACCTACATTTTCCTCAATAAAGCCTGACCTGGTCTTTTTAACACTGCCGGAGATAAATCTAGTTTAATGGGTGAAAGCTATTGACGCTTGGGGTGTAAAAGAACTAACTCAGAATACTAGGCAATAACGGCAAAACAGGATAAATAACACACATAATCAGCTCAGTTAAGGCGAACAAGCAAAACCAACCATTACGGTGGCTAAGAAAATGGACTAGAATAGGCAAGCAAACCGTCAGCTACCCACATCGCTGCCCTTCTGTTCAATTTTGTTTATTTGTTGGTTCAGCCAATTTTGCACAAAGCAACAGACAGCAAACACTGCAGGCTGTTCAAGTAAATGGCCTGTTCACGACCCAAACGGGAATCGTCATGAGCATTTTGTACCAAGAACCAACATATGCTAGCTAAACCATTTGGCTGTCACCAGTGCAGACAAGCATCCATGGCTCTGTATCAACTAAACATATGCATAATTTTCCTGCACGTATTTATTTTAAACACCGAGAGACACTGTCGTGGTAGGCCTGAAAAAATAGACGAAATATGCTCCGTTTTATTAATAGTCAGTATTAATTTCGCTTTTGGTTTAAAAGGTTTATCTCATACGTGTGCCTGAATCTAACACAAATTTATTCTTCTTTGATTTCTGGAGTCCAAAAAAGTAAATGACCTCTTGAGTTAATTCTTGCACAACCAAAATTAATCTTTGAGGCTCGCCTAAAAATAGCAGAGGTAGAGGTCGGAAAGTGCATGAATTTCCGATGAAAGATAAAGGTCTTTTTTGATTAAGCATGATATTAGGGCTTTGGAGTTTCTCGTTCTTCAAATTAAAATCGTCATGTGATACATGCAATGGCCGAAGCCGACAAAAATTAGATTTGATTTGACACAATTGTGAAAATACTCGAGGCGTTTGGCGGGATTTGAACCCGCATAGTAGAGTAGGCCTTCACCGGAAACCAACGTTCTAATCACTTAAGCTACAAACGCCCCACCTCGCGCCGTGCATTTACCCACACTTGGGTCGATTTTACCCGCCCAACTTTACCACTCATATGGAATCCACCAATACGGAACAGCACGCTGACTGCCCAAGCAGGATTACCATAGCAATCATCTAGAATCCACCAGAATGACTACTAGGCTGACTTAATTGTTAAGAGATTTGGCGGATTTGTTTAATTTGAGTTGACTCAATTGTGAAAAAACTCGAGACGTTCAGTGGGATTTGAACCCGCATAGTAGAGAAGGCCTTTATCGGAAGCCAACGTTCTAACAACTTGGACTACAAATGCCCCACCTCACGCCATTATAAATTAGATATGTAGACATAAATTGATTTGCTCTAAATGTCTCATGCGCGAAAAAAACTTTTTCCGGCCCTATACTCAAAGGTTAAGTCAAATAACGTGCTGATAGATCATTCGCATGTAAGTCACCATTGCATTTGCAAAAACTTCCGGGCTATACAGTGTGGTCATTTTTGACCGTCAGGAATGAAGATGAGATGCTTTTGTTCGCAATACGGACTTTTATTTTAAATTTAATGAATTTATCTAAACGCATCTAAGCACAGTTTTGATAACGCTTGATCATGTTCTGACCTACATGCAAGCTGATTATGATTTCTAATTAATTTTTTATAAGATTAGCAGTTATTAGTTGTCTTGAGTGACTGCGTTAACTTTAGGCTGCAGTGATAAACATATATATATATACTACTTATAGTTCATTTTCTTAAAAGATTTAAGAGTTGTCTTTAACGGTTCCATTGTATCGTCATTCGAAATTCTCGAGCAAATACTAAGACACCAACATGAAAATTAGTAAAGATAAAATTATTAGTCTCTCAGCTGAATAACCTGACATGCCTAGACGCTGTCCTGCAAATAACATCTAGATTTCGATCCGAAATTCGAATTTTCTGGACATAACCTCAAACAGCTGATCCCCAAGTGATTTAACACAATGCAAGCAGAAGATATATGGAATACTTTGAAATTTTAAGACTTTAATCTACCATATACTGTCTAGTGAACCTGGCTTTCGAATACCATAAAAAAGTCCACCGCCTTCCATAAAATGACCAACGACTGTTCACGACTTGGATCACTACCCATCAAAGAGAAAATACAAGAAGTTACATTTCATAGCGGCCTAAAATGACCCTGTTGTGAATTTTTATCGGCTCGCGCAGTGAGTGGTAATGAAACCAACAAAAATAACTTCGCTCCAGGGTTTGGAACTAGTGGTCCTTCTAGCTCTATCTATCTATTTTAATTCCACAAGTGTACACAGTGCTTTCATTAAAATTTCACGCATTTGGAATTAAAAATCAGGGTCTAGCCGTAATCAAATACTCCTTAATCTTTCTATAAAGATCGGCTTCATTTTGTCTCCTTAAAAAATAAGACTAACTTTGATCAGTTCCCATTGGGGATCCTGTACATTTTGCCCATAGGTCAACAGTTAAGTGTCCAAAATTGTAAACGTATAGTTGCGGTGATTGCTTTCATATTAAAAGAAATTATCGTTAATAATATTTCACTTAAAAAATGAAGAATCATCCTCAATTATTTCCTGCCAAGCCCATACGGCCCCTCTTCGCTACTTGAAGGGACAATATTTCGCCAGCGTTGTCCTGGGTCAACATGTTACCATCTTGGAATTATTTCAGGGAGACGCGAACTCAGACAAAAAAATCTGAATTATTTGGCGAATTCATGTTAAGTCACCCATGGAAGACAAGCAAACACTTATTTCTGGGTCCAAGCCAGGGCAAACATGTAAAAACTGACGGTTGGGTTGCGCCAGTTCAAGGTGGTGCATGCTGCCCAAAATATACACATATACAAATAAACGTACGGAAAGTGACCCGATTTGTTTAGAATCTTAGTTATTTAAACATTATTGAATGCACTTTCGTATGTTCCGGGATATATACATATATATATGGTATTCCGGAGCACGTATCAAACATAGCTATACATGAATTATAGGGTGCTTGCCGATCTAGGGAAGGAACAAGAACTTCACTTCATGCCCTGGACCTCACTATATACTGTCTGATGACGGTTAATAAGCCAGAAATGGTCATTCCGGTTTCTCTTGGTTTCATAAATTTCAATCATCCTATCCTACTAGTCGCTATGCAGCTGCCTGCGCGGACTCTATAGTGAGCTCCATGGCAAAAGGGGCATTCTTCTTCCTTAACTTAGAGCACACAACTACCACTCATCATCTTCCCTATCGCAACCGACAAAGGTAACGAGCCCGTGGTGAAATGATAGAATGTTGAATTCACTGACCAAAAGCTTTGGGTTCGAATCCAGGGTTATCCACACCTGCTATTGAGACTGACTGTCTGATGACGGTTAATAAGGTAGAAATGGCCATTTTGGTATCCCTTGTTTCTCTCGGTTCAACTTGATAGTCATATATAGCAATGTCTGATGTGTGCTGTTTCGATCAGTATATCACACGACTTCTTCTATTCTACGTACACTAAAGTATGCCAATAAGCTTTCAGAAAATGAACTTTGGAACCATTATCACAGCATATGCACAATACTACTAGGAACGAAAAGGTAAATAAAAAACTCACTCTAGCCACATTTAAAATTTCGGAGACGTTAATTTCAGCAGTTTCATCTTCTTCTTGTTTTTGATAGCCATCCAACGCCGAATAAAGTATATTTACTATTTTTAACACCTCCTTAACAGCATAACCATCAGCTCTGTAAAGACGCTTAACGTTCAGTTTAACAAACGCCTTCGTAGCCATGAAGTGCACAATCATTTTTATAAAAAGAACTCTGTCTTGTTCGGTCTCAAGACAACGAGGTATGTCTGCATTCGCGTCGAAACGAAGGGCTAGCCATTTTAATATTTCTGCAAGAAGCATAAAATTGGGCGAGCGAAAATTTTCGATGGATATCAGACGTGGATAGCCCAAAGCCCTCATCATTTCCGAAAAATTACGCGTTTCCCTCCACGACATGCTTAATCTATCAAAATAGGTTATACAGCCTAATGTCCAAATCCCAATTCAAAATAAAAGCCGTTGTTATGGTACCGAACAGCCGCACTCCCATGAGGTCAGTATCATAGGCACAAGTTCTCTATTGAGTAGCTCAAAAAGGACTTGGGTACTTAGTCCCTCAACGGAATACGTGCGGATTTTAAAAAAACAAGTGAAATCATTTTAACTAGATTTAACGTACTCACGTGGGCTTATCAATGTTTGATGGGTGGCGTCAAGACGTAGGTACGAATAAAGCATCTGAACTGTTGTCACCCTTGAGGACCGAATAGTGTATTACAGATATTTGTACATTTCCAACTTCTGGCTGCATTTTTGCTGATGCTCCTTAGTTTTCGTCTATTTTAATGCGTCATACCCACATAATAGCCAACTTAGATTTTCGTAATCGCGTTGTCTGATTTCGCTAGTGCATGGGGTTAATGGTTCACAAACCGCGTTTCTCCGACTCAATTGCTGTTTACTCAGTCAGTCATTATATTTGAGGGAAAAATAGGCTTGCGCCTTTGAACTCCCTATTCTTCACATCAAAATCTCAAGAATTATAAACAATTTTAAGAAGTTTTCAGTCAGG